ACACACACACACAAATCAGTAGATCGCGGATTTTTAAGTTATAATTATGCACTAGACCAAAGCAGAGTACTCGATTCCAATGTTCAGGCAGGATAAAGGCATCTCACTCAAAGTTCACGAATTCACAGTCTACGAATCACAGACGAGTATCAAGGAACGCTGCTGCAATTAGCCATCACTGCGAATTGTATCTTTATGAGGGTGAATCAAGGTGTTTCTTATTTGCTCCACCGGTACAATCAATACTAGCTGGAAGCAACAAGGGGATGAGTTACACCAATCAGAGGGCGAACGATGGCCTGTCTGGCAACATGTTATTAGCTGTGCCACACTGCTGCCCCAATTAACGTTGGCTACCTCATAGTTTAAGTCAGGTCAGGTATCGACTAGACAGCAGGGCATTCGGCATTGTCTCTCCTCCCTCGATTGGCACATTCGGTAATTTTCGATAGGGAGCTAGAAAGATAGAAAGAGACACCGATAAAACTGGATGGCCATTGCGCGATAGCTCCGAGCGTTTCCGGCTAATCGAAACGGATAAACATCGGTGTTGCACCGCTACCTGGTGTTCTTTAGATTTTTATCGAGAATTCGGCATTGAGGAATTCTCCAGGCCAGGAGGTGAGCGAGCTGCACGCCGCTACGCCTCGCGCCGCGATTGTTAAGGCTAGGAAGCAACGTCGGAAAGCGTAGAAAATTAGAGCAATGTTTCTATTATTATAAAATAGAAGACTCTTGCTAGAGCACTTTCACTCCAATTAGGATTATTATTGTACAGTGGAATCTACATTATGCAAATGAATGGAGGGACGTGTGGTGCCTTTGAATAATTTGGATCGCAACGCTAATCTTAACATACGCGAATAACGTAAATTCCACGTATAAATCCAGCTTACGCTGCTAGATTATTGGCGAACGTTGCAACTCAACCATCGGATAGATTGAACGAATGTTCGTGTAAATAATTCGCGAAAGAAGTCAACTAACTTTGAATTATAAAGACGCGAACTGGTTTCCATCGTTTCCAACGACGGCGAAATTCGGGAAAGAAAAATTCCGGGGAACACGACGGAGACATCCGAGAGGAACGCGTCGCGACGTTAAATGTTTCATGGAATTCCGAATCAATCGTTCGAAAATCCTAGCGCGCGCACGCCGGGAATATGATTTATAGCAGTTGGCGATATTAAAATTTCAACGTGGCGGAGAAACGAAATTGCATTCCCCGCGAGTAAGTTTACGATTTCTTCGAATTTTATCGGGCGAGCGTCGTTCGTTTGCCGGGGTAACGACGCGACTCTGGCAGAAGTAAACGTTTCAAAAAATCGTAAATTTGTGGAGCTCGAAGATAAAGGGTTGAGAAAGTGCTTCTACAAATTTCTACAGCTTGGCTCAAACCTACGATCGAATCGTTGAATTCTCCCATGAATTCTTGAATGAATTTTTTCCAACAATTCGCAGATTCGAAGTCAATAAGAACAATCGAAAGTTCACGAAAATATCGAGAGTTAATTTTCTCACGACGCAATGAAAACGCCGGGGAGTATGAAAAAGCGAAACTCTTTGCAAACTTTTTGCAAACGTAGGTAACTATGGATTACCTCTCTACCGTGTACGGTGTCGAGCGCAAAAGAGAAAGATGTCACGGCTCCCTATTTTTTGCCAAGTTTTTCGTAAGAATGGGAATATAAAGGCAAGTGGAAACAGATGATTCTTATGGCGGAAGCGGAGACGTTTTCGCTCGTCTTTCGGGGGAAAAACGACACGGGACAAGATCGATATGGAAAGATAGAAATGCCCCGGCGGGCTCGAGCGGCCAGGGCTCATCGAATTTCAATGTGCGTTTCCCAAGTACGCCGCCTCGAATCGCAACTTTTTTAATATCGGCCGACCGGCGTAGAGAACATTCGAATCGCGGATTAAAGCGGAGGGAATCGTAAACCGCGAATCGATGCCAAGCCTTGTTGCTTTGTGTGACTTTCGAGAACGATACGTGCGTACAGGGTGGAAAGGAAAGTTTGTCCGTGGATATCATAGATGAATTCTACATCTTCGATTCGATGGAAATACAAAATTGACATTGATCTTGAATTTCAGGATCGGAAATTTTTTTCTACATTGTATTCTAGTTCGTGACGAGAATAAAACTTTTCGGTCGCATTGAAAAATGGCAAAAAGTCTCCTAATCGTTTAACACTGCGTGCGTTCTAACAGCGACTTTATGGTTCTGAACGCGTGCATGTCTATATTACGTAATGTTTATATTTCGAATAATGTTGACAGTTTTGGTTTTATCATTTGATTATTTAGCCTCACACTGATGCTACAACTATGATGAATCAAATGTTAGTGAAACCTAATACGAAAATTACGTAGAATAGACATCCACGCGTCCACAATCATAAAGTCGCTGTTAGAACGCACGCGTCTGCAATGTTAAATGATTGAGAAATTTTTTTGGTTGTGACTTGTAGTGGTTTTATCTTCGTAATGAGTAGAATACAATGCAAAGAAAAAAAGATGATCTTGAAATTCAAGGTCAATTTTGTGGCAGGTTCTTTACTTCATATGATAGCCACGGACAAACTTTTCTTTCCACCCTGTACATACGTGATTTACGTAACTTTCCGCTTTGGCTGGAAAAATCCTGCCAGCAAATGGGAAGTCAAATTTTGAAAAATGGATGAATCTCCCTTTGAATGAATCGCCTTTTATGACACGAGGATTATGTTCATCGGATTCGAGAGACTATAGGAAATAATTAAAACCTTCAAAAATTTAACATTACACTCTGAAACGAAATGCTCGTAAATTTTTCCAAAAAAAAATATGTCACTTTACAAAAATAACGTCTCTGCAGATCAGAGTTACCATTTACCCGGAACAGAACATTATGGAACTTTGTGAACTGCCAATTGCTAGCTAAACTATAAATATATATATATTTTTGTCTGAAATTTTTGAAGCAGGAGAAACGAAACGAAAAGAAATCCTTCCAAAGCACAATGGGAACTGGTAAATTCAATGGCTTTGAATTGAAAATGAATGGCAAATGAAATGCAAAGTTTGCTCAATTCTACGCGATATTACGATCGCTTTCCTTTGCGCGAATAACATTCTTCAATTACACATTACATCTTGGTACGTCTAATTGCAAGATCAACGCGTCTGTTCACAGGCTAAAAATGGCGGGGTGGCAATGGTTCCGTTTTATACATACTTCATCACGTGCAACAGTACAGCCACCATAAAGGACGTTATTGGTACGTAGAATCATCATCGATATATATATAAACCAAATAAACTTTGAAATCCTTTTTGTTAAGATTTCAATAAAGATATCGTCGATCTTACGAAAGTACTTCGTTTTAAAAGATTTCATAATTTTATAAATTTTATAAATTTTCACGTAAGTTTTGCTACGATGTTTCATTGAATTGAAAATTATTTCGACTTGAAACGGTGCAAATTTAAACGTCAAACTGGTCGCTTTTTTCTTCCACCGGAAGAAAATACACTGCGTGAAAAGCGACAAATATGGCAGCGCGATGACTTGCACCGGTAGATCGGTAAAACGCATTATTTGTTATTCGAGCCGAACAATGATTCGTTTCTTCTGTCGTGTCTGTACGCTGTCCGCGTAAATTAACGTGGAACTGACTGGCACGCACGCCAGTCAGTGGGACTAATTAACAATCAGGCAGAAACGCGCGCATTTTATTCGGGGATCGAGTAATGACGGTGCAGGTTCTCTGGAATAATAAAATCAAGCATTTTAAACGTCACCGCACGACCGAGTTTATCAGGGACGACCATGCTGTTTCAGCACACATCAATCACATCCGAAAGGTGGCGGGGATCGATCACGTTGGAATAGGAGCTGGCTTCGACGGGATAAATTTGTAATTATCTTTCGAGTATCCTCGGCACAACGCGCATTCAGAGAATAATCATTATCGATGCTCGGCTCAATGAAGCAATTACCAATTGCATCTATGAAGGGAGAGAGCTGGCCAACAATTCGCTGCCGCTGCACAATCAACACTTACAATTAGACGAACGCGTATCGTGAAAGCGAGTCGTAAAACTGCTTCCATTGATACGGGCCGGCGGCTCGTGCAAAATTTCCGTGATTTACGAAATTATTTATCGAACGTCGAACGTCTGTTCTCTGAATAGCGCGATTCAAAAAAAAACAAACGTTCAGAACCCGAGCAAATTATTGTTGGCGATTATCCTTGCGTTTTTCAGCACTCCCACCGGCTTGGAAGATGTCTCCAGGTATCCGCAGCTGTTGGCCACCCTGCTCGAGGATCCAACATGGACGGAGGACGACATTAAAAAGCTAGCTGGCCTCAATTTGTTGAGGGTGTTCGCGAAGGTCGAGCAGGTAAGTTTATTCCAGTTATTGCATACGTAGCTATTTGTACGAAGTTACTGTTGTTCAAGACTATAGCTATTTACACAAGATTACAGTCCATACTGGTGTACAGACTATAACAAGACTTCTCGTTTATAAGAAATAGATTTACACGAGAAAGATTTATACTATAGTACGTACAAGGTGTCTCTACTTTGCCAATGGATTATACGAATGAAAATAAGAGAAAGATGCCACATATGGTCAAAAATTCTTCGTTAACGAAATGAACGAAAATTTTTGTTTACGCTTGCAATGCCTAAATCAACGTTGGATAAGTCGAAGAGCCACCAGACCTCGCGCCATTAAAACTTTTATTTGCGGGGAGTGTAAAAGTTAACACGCGTGAATAATTAGTGTAAAGTATGATAAATTCAATTTCTAACAGATGACAAGCGTATAGATAGGTAAATGTCATCGACTATTATTTCGAATTTTTGTCGAATTTTGGCTCCTTAACACTGGAACTACCAAAATTTCTAACTTTTTTAGAGTAATTGTTTAGAGTAACTTACAGTGTTGCGTTTTTTAGAGATTCGAATGATTTTTGTAAAACGATATGAATAGAAAATGCTCGCGTAAAGCTTTTTCTACTCCTTTCTTCGATTCAATTTTCATACTTTGTAATTCTTTAGTAATGCTGTTGTTAACAAAGAAATATTCGAGCACACGTTTTATACGACATTGTGTTTGTGTCCTTATTTTCACTCGTAGAATCTTCTCTACGGAGAAAGTGCAGGGACAGCCTGTATACTCTAAATTTGCTTTCGATTCGATGGAAAGTCAGTGACACGGTCGATAAAGAAGAAGGAAATGAAATTCCAGGTGCGCGACGAGTGGCACAGGGCGGCTGTACTGCCAGTGGAGAAGATCAGTCCACCTGACAACTCCGCCTGCGTCTACGGAGCGTCTTGATCTTCTTTGAGGACATTCACGGCAGGATTCCTCGACTTTCTACGATCGCCGAAGACTCGACACGTCTCATGGAACTACAGGACCCTGTAAACGTGCGGACCTGGATCAAGCTGAATGATCGCCTCTCCCGATGTGATAACATCTTTTCGTGTTTTCCGGGAAGCCCGATCGCGCCTTATGAAAGATGAAAAATTGAGCAAGAGCGTTCCACGGTTCCATCTGATAGAAGGACTGATAAGGTCGAGACCACGTGCTTGAACGATCATCTTCAGGACAAGTTCAATCTTCATTCTTTCTTACGTTCTTTCTTTCTCTTCTTTTTCATTGACGTGTACGGTCGTCAAACCAAATGTCTTGAATTATGCGATTGCAATTCTTTTTTCCTTTTTTTCTTCCCCCCCCCCCATCATTTTTTTGTAATTGGTAATTCGTAGTTTCTGAGGAACGTTATACATCATGACAAAATGAACTGTCTTGCTCTCCATATTGTTGTTGTTGCAATTGAACGAACATATCTATATAACTACGTTGATTTGCTGCTATTTTAATAGCTGGATACGTCCGTCCATACTTTCAAGCAGAATCGTTGCAGAATCGTTGAGAATTCTCCTCCCTTGGTTTGGCTCCCTGCCGATCGATCGCATCCACTTTCGAAATCAGCTTCTCGATGTTACGCGAGAATTCAACACGTTACGAGAGCTTTTGTTCCGTTTTATCCCGCTTCCGTGTGTATACAACGCTGTTGTATATCTCGAAACTGTCTGAAATTTATGGGAACAGAATTATATTTAACCGTAGCCCATGTCGAGTTGATCAACGCGACTATATACGTCTACGTAGGATGTACCGTTCCACGGAAATCTGAACTCGTTCTGAAGATATTTATAGACGAATATAACTCGAATATAAGCGTTAAGAGAGAGAGAGAGATAGAGAGAGAAAAAAAAGCGTTCCTGAATGAATAACTTATTATAATTCGACGCGGACAATCGAGGCGGCCGAGAATGCGCTTGCTGGATGAGAATTTATTTCGCGAGCAAGCGAGAAATATGTTCTCTCCCGGGGTATCGAGAACCGAAGACAGAATTCCGATAAATGTTTTTCGATATTTCTACCTTGGAATAATTATGTTAAAGATCTCAAGCGACGGATACCAGGCGGCATGCGTTCAAACGTCGATCAATCGCGATATTTAACGACGAATCTCGTTCGATTCGTTTCCTTCTTTATTTCGCGTCGTTGCTCACGCAAGTTGAAATAATTGATTGTATAAAACAGACGAGTTTCCCAGATATATTATGGACATTACACAGGATGAATAGAGAAAAGAATTCGTAACTTTCTATGATAGATAGTACTCGCCATGAAACATAAAAAAAAAAAAGAAAGAAAGAAATAAACGTAATAAAATTAATAGTTTCAAATCAATTGTAAATCAGTTTTTCGTTTCGGCTGAAATTCGTGTGAAGAAGTTGGAACACCGATCCGGGAATCTTTGAAAGAGTACGTAATTCTTTGATACGAAGCGTGGCCACGTAGAAAGCCTTCTGTAATCAGAGAATGAAGAGATTACAAGGCGAAGAAATTCTTCAACCGGAACGAAAAATCGCTTGTAACTTTGAAACTGTCGAATCTTTCGACCTACTATCTACTCTAGAAGAGTCACGAACTCGTTTGTCTATTCACCTTGAAGAATATTCCTTGA